TAAAAATTTCTTTCATGTCTTTGCCTGCTAATTTTAACTTCTATGAATGAGTGTAATTTTTTTCTTCTCATCATGCGTATTTCCCTTCCTCCTTCATGTCTGATCATCTTTAATTACATGCCAAACATTGTGAATTTTGCCTTATTGGGTCCCAGATATTTTTTGTTCCTATATATATTCTTGAGGTTTGTTATGGAATGCAGCTACGTTACTTGCAAACAGTTTGATCCTTTCAAGTCTTGCTTTTAAGAATTGTTAGGTGGGAATCTTGCAGCAGTTAGGCTTGGGTGAATTTTTCTCCATTACTGAGGTACGACTCTTCTGAGTACCCTGTCCAAAGCCTAAGGAATTGAGATTTTTCTGTCTAGCTGGTGGGAATAGGCAATCTTCCTGGCCCCGATTGAGCACTGTTCACTCTAATCTTTCAGATAGTCCTTTCCCTCGTCTTGGGCAGTTTTCTCACAGTCAGGTGCTGGCCAGTACTCTGCCCTCTACAGATCTCCAAGTTTCTTTCTCTGTGTACCTCTCTCTCCTTTGCTACTCTGTCCTATGAACTCTACTGCCTTGGTCTCACTGGACTCTCAGTCTGTCTCCTCAACTCAGGAAGTCTCCTGGTTCTACCTGAGTCCTCTCCCTATGCCATGGTCAGGAAACTCAAACCAGTAAGCTGGGTAACCGTAAGGCTCACCTCATTTGTTTCCTTTCATTAGGATTACTGTCCATCATTATCTGATGTTCAATGTTTTGAAAACCACTGTTCTATGTACTTTGTAGTCTTTTTTCCTTAGGGTGTGCATGTGTTGGGGTGGAAAGAGGTCATTTCAGGTAGGAGAGTAAATCTAGACCCTGTTACTCCATCTTGGCCAGAAGCAAAAGTCCTCAATCAAAAATTTTAAGGACAGGGCCGACCCAGTGGCATAGCAGTTAAGTTCGTGCGCTCTGCTTTGGTGGCCCTGGGTTCGCAGGTTCTGATCCAGGTGCAGACCTATGCATCACTTACCAAGCCATGCTGTGGCAGGCATCCCACATATAAAATAGAGGAAGATGGGAACAGATGTTAGCTCAGGGCCAACCTTCCTCAGCAAAAAGAGGAGGATTAGTGGCGGATGTTAGCTCAGGGCTAATCTTCCTCCAAAAAAGAAAAAAGAAATTTAAAGACAAAATTGCCAAACTGTCAATAATTGTATGCTTAAACTTTTCAACCTTCTTTCCATTGCTACACAGCAGTCTTAGACAGAAAACTAAAAACTAAAAAGAGATTTACCAGACTCTATAACAGCCCATATTTCTCATCTTTATAATGAAACAGGCATTTGAATAGCTAAATTTAAAATATTTTTCTTACCATTTGCCAGGGGCTTTATATTTATTATGTACTTTAATTCTCATGATAATCTTTTAAATTAGGCAACATCATCCTTATTTTAGACGTATAGAATCTGAGACTCAAGAAAGTTAATTAGCTATTATCCCCATGTATAAACTATTATCCTTATGTCCTTAGGTTTAGGCATAAATAACTTTTACATAATAGTAATGGTGAAATGTTATTAGTTGGTATTCCATAAACACTGGATGTTAAAAAGCATAGCTGTATTTAAAAAGTACAATCCCAGCTGGGAGGTATTCTCAAAGCTACAGCGGGAACAAAAACATTTAAGAGAAGTTATACTTTCAAATAATGGGCAGGCAGGAACACTAAAAAAACCAGATCTGCTCAATATTATTCACTGGTCATATTCTCTAACAGTTGGCTTTTAAGATTTAGACAGGAATACAATTGAGATTTTAAAAAAAAATCCCATTTATTCTTTGGTTAAGTTTATTTAATTTGTAGATTTGAGGGATCATTTGAGGGCTTAGTATATTTTGACTTCAGTAAAGCATTTGACAAATTTCCTCTGACCTTTATTTTGATATGGCTATAGTGAGGAAATGGAGATTCAGTTCTACAAAGTTAAAGGAACCTTTTTTTTTCTTAACAAAGAACATGGACAAATGACTTTATCAACCTATAGACATGCCAGTTTTGAAGGTCAACAAATCTTGGTCCTGTCTTGATGAACAATTTTTCAATAACTTGAATCGAGCCATTGGAAGCTTATGAGGGAGAGTTATATAATAAATACCAGAATCAAGATTCAAAATCTCAAGATCTCAATATGCTGGAATGATGAGACAAAAAAATCAACATGAAATGTTTGACAGGAATAAATGAAAAGACCCTTTTTTTTAGGTTAAAATTATACAAATAATATACAAATATGAAAACAGAAAATATAACAATACAATAACAGTGCTAAAACCAAACAAGCCCCCCACCGTCTCCTTCTACCATCCACACACTAAATGATGTATCCATGGACAAGAGATACATGTAAAACAAAGGGACTCAAATAGATTGAGAGTAAAATGATAGGCATATATTACTCGACAAGTAAAATGTTTTGTTTGGACATATAATGGTAAAGGTACAATTCTCAATAAGTAGGTCTCATGAATTTTTGGGCATTGAATAAAAATAGCATCAACAATTAGAAAGCAAAACTTTAGGGATAAAGAGAAATAAAGGGGCTGGCCTGGTGGCGCAGAGGTTAAGTATGCACATTCCGCTTCCGTGGCCCGGGATTTGCCAGTTCAGATCCTGGATGCGGACATGGCACCACTTGGCAAGCCATGCTGTGGCAGGCGTCCCACACGTAAAGTAGAGGAAGATGGGCATGAATGTTAGCTCAGGGCCAGTCTTCCTCAGCAAAAAGAGGATTGGCAGCAGTTAGCTAGGGCTAATCTTCCTCAAAAAAAGAGAAAGAAATATTACACCAGTAGACTTTAACTCAGCTCTCTCAGCATCTGAAGGAGACAAAAGGAAGGATATAGATTATGTAAATAGAATAATTAATAAGGTAGCGCCAATAGGTATATCCAACTCTATATGCTTAAATCCGAATTTGCAACTTTCTTTCCATTGACCATGGAACATTTATAAAACTGACCATATATTAGTCCACCAAAAAAACCTCAATACATTTCAAAATGTAGAAATATATATTTGGAAAAGTTCTTATTAGTTTAATATGGAGCATCTTCTTGCACATTACTTTTACTTGATAGTAATTAAAATAACTGTTTTTAGATTAAAACACCTATGGGATAAATAGAAGAATAAACTATATAAATTACACAAATTTTTAAAGATATAGCAGAAAACTCAAAGAAACTGCATTTAATGAGATGACTTTGAGCTGTCTCTTTGCTCAGTCCTTCATGCCTCTCTGCTCTTATGGAAATTGGGCAAAAACCTTGAGAAAAATTGTGAGGCTATTTCTTTTCACAGTTTAGTGAAATACACAGTCAACAGATCCCTAATAAGATGGAGTTAACAGGCTTAAATTATCATCCCATTCCCCACCTTTTGCATAGGAAATTAATGAATACTGGCCTATCCTAGACCCAAAGGAGTTTCTCTTATGATGGCATTTAAGACCCTGGGCTGGGTCTTCAGAGGAAGGTTTTTGGAAAGAGGGCACTTCCTGATTTCCCTCAGGGCAAAGGAACCTGCTTATTGAGCTACACTCTGAGCTTCTCTCAGTAAGAGCTGTGTCTTATTTACTTATATATCCTCAGTACTTGCCTGAAGGATTGGCACACAGTAGGTGCACTATAAATGCTTATTGGATACATAATGTAAACTTCCTCTTACTTATTGGCAAGTAAGATGGATTTAGGGACATTGAACCTCGCCTCTTCTATCTGTGCCAGCCCTTAGGGCAGTGGTCTGGGGAAAGTTCCTGCTCACAAGATGAACGATGTATTCCTGTCTGCTCTATGTTGGCCTGGGCTCTGTGGCTAGGGTGGCCCCTCCCACTGGTGTTCCGAGCATTCCAGTGCAGGGTGAGTCAGAGGGCGCCTGTGACTCTAGCTTGCAGCAGGCACCCAAGAATAGAATGGATTTGACATGTCTTGTTTACATATGACTCCTCGGTCTCTTCCAGGTGTGGGGAGGTTCAACAGGGGAAAGAAGGAGGGACTAGAGACATATTTTACGAAAAGGATTGGAAAGCATCCTGAAGCCACCAATCCACAAATATTCTCTCTATAGGCAGGGCCAACAGGCAGAATGCAGTAGGGGAGCAGTCAGTGGGCTCCAAGGATGAGGGGTGGTAAAGAACTGAAGAAAAGTGAGGCCCCTCAGAAAAGTATGTGTGAAAATTGTCTGCTAACTACATTAAAAACACCATTCAGGTGCCAGCCCAGCGACACGGTGGTTAAGTTCACACGTTCTGCTTTGGCAGCCCAGAGTTTGTGGGCCAAGATCCCAGGCATAGACCTACACATGCTCGTCAAGCCATGGTATGGCAGCGTCCCACATATAAAAACTAGAGGAAGACTGGCACGGACAGTAGCTCAGGGACACTCTTCCTCACAAAAAACAAACAAACAAAAACACCATTCAGAAGAAATGAATTTGAGATTTTATTAAGAAATATATTAGTGTCAATTACAAAGCAATATGTACATGTTTAAAGTGCTTACAAAATAAATTAAAAATATATTCCATAAATTTTAAAACATCTGTATTTTAGCTTTAACAAAGGCACTTCTTCAGGATCTGCTTGCATACACCACTCTTGTCAGTTAAGTAATTTTTAAAACTCGGCTTAGAATATTTTCACAATATTTTGCTTGGAAATTCTTTCAAACTGCTTCATTATATGTACAAGTTTTCATGCACTGCTTCTGCTTTTATCTTCTTCTTTCATAAGTTTTTAGTATGAGAACATAAGAAATGTCAGTGCATGTGGAAGAAATGCCCACCTTTTAAACAGAGGTTTACATGCTACTGAGTTCAACTTTTTTCCTTTTTCAAGGGAAAAAGTTCTTCTACTACACTTTTAGATTCTTACCTCAAGTAAGGCTTATGTAATTCCAGCTGAGAATTACTGCCACAAAGCCAGTGGCCCAGGCATTAACGCTACAAAGTCTCCCCCCAACATTTCATTTGAGGATTAGTACTTTCCCTGCATTACAGACCTACATTAAATGAGGAAAGCTTACAAAAATAAGTTAAGAAACCCTTCTGTAATTAAAAAATAACCATTGGTAGTCTTTTAAACATCCCAGAGTTAATGTTCTATCTACCTAGTAAAGATAATTTGTTACTGTGAAATAGGACTTCAGTGGAGATTTATTTTGTTTCACTGGGAGCGACTGAAATAACGCCACAATTCTATTAAGTTTGAGACTTGTTTAAGGCATTTATTTGTCGTGACTTCTCTTTTCTTTCTTTTCTTCATTGCCTGGGTATTATTTATCTGTGGAATAGGAGAATCAATGGTCAAAATTAATTGTCACTATCTTTAACCACTGTTGAGTGGCAGGTTATATTGTCTTCTCCATGCAAATCCATCTCTCAATGTGTCTCTCAAACATCTGCTTACTCTCTGCTCCTAGTGCTTTCTCCAGAGGAATGTCCTTCCATCTTTCCACCCACTTCCTCCTGCTTCAAGGCCAAGCACACTTCCTTCACAAGGCCTTTGCTAATTGTTCAGACTTTCCTTTTGGAAAGGCTTCTAATGCTTACAAGTGTGTTTCACTTAACTTGGCTCTCACTTACACACTTTATTATTGCATCATAGGTATTCCCCATAGTGCTGAGCACCATGTCTTATACACAGGAAACACTGAATATTTACTGAATGATTAAATGAACGAATAAGTTGGTGATTTCATGATATCCCTGACAAGATCATAAGTTCCTCAAGAACAGGACTTGTCTTATGCCTCTTTATAGATATTAATCAGTTCACCTATTATGCGGATCCAAAGTGCTCCCGCCTTCTACCTCTTCCACCACCTACCTGTGCCACAGACACCAAAAGGCTTATTCTGAAGTGGGGTCTAAACTTAAAAAAATATTGCAATAATCTTCCAGTGTATTCCTTCACCTGAATTACTCTTGAGTAGTGACAGACTGGGCCTCCTAGACACATACTACTCAGATCAAAAAAGTTAACCTGGTTACTAAGCAAAAATCTTACAATCTGAAATCTGCTAAACCATAATTAAACGTTATTGTTTTTCAGTTCTCCCCTTGGGCTTGGGAGGGGGCTGAAATAAATTATTTCCGACTCTCTGTTTCTCACATGCTATCCAGAACTTGACCTAGCCTGTCTTCCATGCTCTTACATGGCCGAACTGCATTGCAGCCATCTGTAGATTTGCCACGGTCTCCGATAGAAGGCATAGAGCCAAACGGGTTTTTCACATGGTTGCCTGGTATTGTGTACCCAACTCAAGCTCAACCCAGATCAACCCTATGGCTTCAGTCTTCAATCCCTGAAAAAGTGACAGACTTGGCCACCCGGATTCTCATTGTGCAGATTGATAAAGTCCACCGGTTAACAGGCAGCAATCATACATATCTGCACTGGTCTCACTTTGCCTTTTTAAAATTTGTCATCAGGAAGATAAATTCCCCACTTTACTTGCCCTCTGAAATAAATATTTATTGAGTACCTGTTACATGCCAGGCACTGTTCCAAGTGCTTTTACCTACATTGACTAATTTAACCCTCAGAAAACTATATGGGACTTGCTGACATGATCCTCATTTTGCAGATGAAACTGAGTACACAGAGGCTAAGTCAGTTATCCAGGTTTTCACAGTTAGAAGTTATGGGGCTAGGATACAAAGTCAGGCAAGGCTGTCTCCACACTTCCTACTCCTAACTCTGCACTGCTGTTTTCATATTTAAAGTTACATGTTCATTCAAATGCAAGTAACTGCATATGAAAAAATCCATTATGTAAAGAGACAGCAATACCACCCACACAAGCAATTAAGGAAACATGGGGTAGAGATTTAAGGTATAATTCAACATTTTTTTTTTTTAAGATTGGCACCTGAGCTAACAACTGTTGCCAATCCTTTTTTTTTCTGCTTTTTCTCCCGAAATTCCCCCAGTACATAGTTGTATATTTTAGTTGTGGGTCCTTCTAGTTGTGGCATGTGGGATGCTGCCTCAGCGTAGCCTGACAAGCCGGGCCATGTCCGTGCCCAGGATCGGACAGACCCTAAGAAACCCCAGCTGCCCAAGCGGAGCGCATGAACTTAACCACTCGGCAATGGGCCGGCCCCTAATTTAACATTTTAAGAAAGCAGCACACATTATTAAGTGATAAGCCCAAGCAATGCTGCTCAAACTTTGGAATGGATAAGAAGCTTATAAGGAGCCCAGACACAGAGACTGTGATTTTGAAAGTCTGGGTTGGGGTCCCTAGGAATTGGTATTTTGGACATTCACTCTTGCATTCTCAGGCAGCCAGGACATTCTGATGTAGGAGGCTCACTGGTCATACCTTAAAACATTGGCAGAAGGTATAGAACCATAATTCTGCCAAAAGAATCAGAACCCTGGAAATAGGTCGGTTTGGGTCCAGGTGTCCACTTGGGACTAACTGATAATCAACAGATTTTACCTGGCTTATTTGCTCTTCAAAAGATGAAAATCACAACGAATTCTGCAAGAAAGCCCCACTTTAATTTAAGGTTAGCTCTTGAAAAGCAAGAGTCTAATGCATAGGCTTACCTGAATTCCGGAGTGGCCTGGGCAATGGCTGTTGAGCGTAGCGTTAGTTGCTGTTACAATTTTCTTGGCGAGTGACAGGCATTGGCTGGACTTGAAGGTAAGGCGCTCGATTTCGGTGAGACAACTCGGCTGCTCACAGGCGGCAAAGTTTACGAGAAAAGGAAAAGTTTACGAGAAAAACGCCAGGGGAAAAAAACAGAAAGAGAAAAAAGAGTTGATAAATAAGTGAAAGGGGAAGCAGGGGAGGTGGGGAAGGAGCAGGAGACACAACAAAAGCGATTCAAGTAAGAGGAAAGAGGTCTGGGTAGAAGGGAGGGAGAAAGAACCCAGAGAAGGAGAAGGAAGGAGGAGCGTTGTGAGAGTGGCAGAGGGCGCCTAACGAGACGGGGCCCGCGCTGACGCTCGCTGCGCGCAAGGCTCGGGGCCCGGGCCACTGCCAAGAGGCGGCCCCCAGCGCAGAGGCTCCACGTCCCACCCGGAGAGGGGGTGCCCCTGACGTCTTTCCCTGGTCCCGGTTCCTGATCTGCCTTTCCTCCCGGAGGGTGGGAGGAGGAGGAGCCTCTCCCGACATCCCACTCAGTCCGGAAACAGACTCCCTCGCTCCAGACTGGAACAGAAGTGGCCTCCAAAGCTGGGCACCGGCCCAGAGGTTTCCGGCAGCCCAGTTGTCCCCACTCGGTCGGCGTCGCCTGGGAGCCCAGCCGCTGCCTGGAGTTCTACACGCCGTAGGATCCCCCCTCCCTGGAATGCCTGGCATCTTTCTGGAGAAAGCCAGTAGCGCTGACCACTTACTCACCCGGTCTCCACAGTAGACAGTGTGGTTGAACTGGGTACTTTTGATCTGGAAGGAAGGAAAAAAGCATACGACAAGAAGGGTAAAGACTTAAGTTCACAGGAGAAATCATCCTCCAGCTACCCTGCTCCGGTACTCCTACGTTTTAAAGATGCTTTGAAAGCAGTTTCCACTTAGGCACTTGTTTCCTATGCATCTGTTTGTCATTGACAAGGTAGTAAAACGCTTAAAGTCTTTAGCTAGTGCCTGCTGGTGTTTGAAACTGGATATCAAAGGATCCTGTCCTAGAAGGAGCCACAACCCCCCCCCCCGAAAGTGGGCACACCTGCACACAGGGCTACACATGTGAGCAATAATGCCATGTTTCAAATGCCCACATCTGCCCTGTAGCTGTTTAGGAATTTCACACATGCAGCTTTATCCAGAAATTAGAATAATCAGGAAAACAATTACTACTTTATATGAAAAAATCGGAAGTTTGCCTTATCCCATAATGGCATCCTAAGGCATCTAGAACATTAGGAAGATCTGAAGTGCACCTCCACACCCCTACCGCACCCCCTCCCCCCATCCTCACTGGATAGATTTAACTTACAAGAGTTCCCTCTCTATTACTCCTCTTTCTTTCTCCATCCCTTACCCCCTGTCCTTTTTGTACTGCACTGGCAGAGCAGCAATTTGGAAGAAGATAGACACCCTTGGTGGATTATGTGTTACCTATCGATAGCTGCTCCTCGTCAGCATTTGCACACTTAGTGTGCCAATTTCTAGACTGTCACTTTAGAAGCCAATATATTTCAATATCACTTGTAAAAAATTTTGACAAAATGCTGGGCCATGATTTTTTTTCAAATTATTTCTTTTCTTGAAAGTTACATTGTAGTTTGCATATGTGTATGCCTACTCTTCCGATGAAAAGATATTTGTTGTTTTAAAAAATGTTTCTTCACTTACTCCATTCATATATTCCTTCAGGGCTAGAAAAATGACATTCTGATATTCCTCTTCAATCTTCGCAAAGTTACAGTCAGTGAAATCGTAGGTCAGCACCAGCCCTACCAGCTGCAAGATGAAGATCTTCCTGAAAAAAACTGGCAGAACAAATCATAAGACATCAGGCAATGTACTTGGAAACCCAATTCCACCCCAGTTTCACACTGAACTCTTTACCCCAACACTGAATTGCCTCTAGATCTGCAAGGCCTGCCTTAGGGGCAAGTGCCCCCTGGGCACCACTCTTTGCCTCTCATTCCCAGTGCTCTCCAAGCCCATATTTACCCATGCTGTTGCCTTAAGTTGGAGTCTCCCTGATGCTCCAGAGTTTTCTGGCTCCACATATATAACACCTCAACGCCTACGGGCTCTTTTCTCCTAGGCCAATGATTTTCCTTGATGTCATTCTCTTCCTTTATAGAATTCTGAATTGATGACATGAAAGAAAAAAATAGGACTAGCCAAATCTATGGAATTTTAACATTAGTAAAATCATCAGGAATTTCCCTCACCTTCCTCCTTTTATCTTTGCCTGAAACCTCGGTACTGTCTGAATGAGCTTTAAGAAAGAGATACCCACATCTTTCTCTTACGTGGCCATTTCCATGGCCAAACCCCTTTCTTGTTGGAAAAAACACCCCAAAACCACGGCCACTCTAAGAACTGGACACTGCTGCTTGTGCTTGCTGTACATTCTGAGCATTTCCTTTGGCCACTTTCAACTAGTGCTTTCCCTCCTCTGTGACCACTGAGAAAACTCATGTGTTTATTTAATAGGATGCTTTAGAGGGTGCGTGCAGCCTCAGGCTTGGACTGTACTTCCATGTTAAGGCATTAAATGTGCAATAGTGACCAGAACCTTAGGGGCCAGGGCAATAAAAAGTTGAAATGAATGGGAAAAGATCTGATGGGCTTTGCCATCAAAAACTTACTTTTCAAAGCGCCCTTACCAATTTCAGGAAAAAAGTGACTATTCTGGGGGTGTCTGAGGGACTGCGGTCTCATCCAGCACATTCGATAGGTATCGAGAACTTTTAAAACCACAAAGTCCAGCACCCAGCCACCTTCACAGCCCCACCCTTCAGGCTAGCTTTAGGGCGAGGACATCAGAACTCCTGAAGCGCGGCCAGACCTTGCCGCGCGGTGCCCGGGGAAGGTGCTGTCCAGCGCGCAGCTCTCCCGGAGGCGCGCACCATTCGTACGCCCTGCGTCCCAGGCGCTTAACCCCACGCTGCACAGCCAAGACCTGAAGCCTCGTGCCTGAGCACCGGCGCCGGTTTTAGGGACAGGAGAAGCAACGAGATCGCGGGCTCGGATTTGTACTCGCAAACCCTTGTTAATCCAGAAAAGGGAGTTTAAAAGCAGTGAGTCAAGGAGAGTGCCTGAGAGGATGCCTAGCCTCCTCCTGGGCTCTGGCAAAGCAAACAGAGTTGAAGGGGCGGAAGGCCGACACCGACCAGGCTGCTGGGGGGTGGGAGGGGGGGGGAGGTGAGCCCCGCTTGGCCTGAGGCGCCCCGGGCTCTCCTGACACCCAGCTCCTCTCTTCCTCCCCAGCCCCCACCATAGCGTGTCAGAGCCTGCAGAGCCCCGGTCCTTGGGAAGTTCCTAGGAGTCATCGCAGGAGCCGCGGGGGCAGGGCGCCCCACGTGAGTCCTAGCAAATGTCACAGGCCACGCGGCGCCTGGGAACAACAGTAGGGGGTGGCGAGGAAAGCGGGAAAAGCAGAGACTCAGGAGTAGGGGAGGGGTGGGGACTCGAGCCAGAAATGAACTTTTTTTTCATAGAAGGCGTTCAACAGCTGTGCCAGTACAGCTGGACCCAGTTCTCTGGTTAAGGCCAGGGAATAAAGGTTGTAGCGCTATCAGGAGTATCGGAAAGCCGCTGATTCACCGCTGACTTCAAAAATAGGCTTTTCTGGAACCCTCCAAGTCTAGGATTTAAATGTCCTGGGAGCATCCTTTGGAAGAAAAGTCGCTCCGCCCCTCTGCCCCATCACCAACTTTTCAGGGATGATGCCAACGCCTAATTCATCTGCTGTGATATCGGAGGTGTTTCTGGTCGACAGTTGGACATTGGACAGGCAGACGGGAGCTAGAGACAAAGATTTCTTCACCGGATAGAGGAATGCTGACTGGGGCAGGGACAAAAGAAAGCAGCGACTTGCTCTCTTCTAGAGTGTAACCCGAGCTGCCTTCCTTCCTTTGTTTCTTCCTTTACAACTTTGCATCTATGTCGCTCCTTGTAGAGATGAGGCAGACAGGGCGCCTCCTCCTCTGGTATCCTGAAGAGGTCTCTTTGCCAGTTAAACACACTGCTGAACACTTGTCCCTGGGGACCCCCATTTCCTTTTCTGTAATTATGTGACCTCTTAGATCACTATGATCATATCACTTTTCTGCTCTTGCTGGACTCCCAGTTGCCTGGACATTTACAGTCTCTCCCTACTTGGCTCCAAGCTGTCTTTCGAGCCTTATCTCTTTCATTCACCTAGGCTTCTGCCAAATAGTGTCTAAAGTTAATGTTCTCTAAACGTGCCTTAACCTTTCTTCTTCCCAGCCTCACACCCTCAGGTGTTGGCATTCTCCTACTATTCAATGCTCATTTCACTGGACATCTCCTCCAAAAGTGGTCTCCTACCTGGATGTGACCTCAGTTTCCTTTAAACTATATTTGTTTTGGTCTTCCCTCTTCTGACCTCCGTTTGTTATGTAATATTTCAATAGTGTTCTTCAACTTTATCTTTTTATTAGACTGAGTTCTTTAGAAGCAGGAAATGTTTTATAATAATTGATTTGTTTAATATCAATTTTCTTTTTCCAAAAACAGTTGAAGTGGCTTGCCATAAGTATGTTGGTGTCAAAAGGTAAAAAACAGTCAGGATAAAGCAAAATAAACGAACCACAGAATAGAGGAGGCAAGGATCAAGTATAGGGAAAACCATAGAAAAACATTATTAAGAACTGGAGAATTAAGACAACCTCAAAAGTGAGTTCTGATCTTCCAAACAACCATTGTAAAGGAGAGAATATGATGGTCTCTACAAGTTGATTAGGGGAAGCCAATTTTTCTTATGACTGTGGTCACCATCATAACCACATAGGGCTCAGTCTGATGTGCTACGTGTTATAGGTACTAAATAAAGTCTCAGTAGATTGAAGTATATTAACCTTATTTGAAGATCATTTTCAGGAAGCAAATTATTTCCTATTGAAAGAATCTCTCTTTAATTATCTCTTTTTCTAGTTTTTCACTGCAATTGTCCCTCAATCCACTTATGCCTCTCCTGGGGCAACCATTCAGGTCAGTGTCTGTGAAATTTCCTAGTAGACTAAAGAGATTCCTGTTTTTCTCTCTTTCTATTTGTTCAGATGCTGAAGATGTGAACAGTATCTACTTGTGTAGTTTGGGAAATCCTAGGTTAGGTCAAAATAGTGTCTTCCATGTGCTAGGAAACAGGAGTGAGATCATTTGTAGAATTCTGTGACTACTAAGAGAGCTTAGGCAATACTCTCACCCATGAGATCAGCCAGAAAATGACCTATAACACAGTTCTCTTTTTCCCTACCCTCACTAGAAAGATCTGTCATTCATTTATTTCCTTACTATTTTTGTTTCTTGTTTTAATAATAGTTCCTTTTTTATTCCCTTATTCTTTCCCTCCTTCCTCTTAAATGTACTTCTTTCCAACTCTTCTTTTAACTATCTTGAATATTAAAAGTAGCCTAATCCTCATGCAAAACTCAGTTTGTGTTTGAAGAAGTAGATCCAAGTTGTCAGGAAAAAGGATGCTGGTTTTTTTTTTCTTACCCTATTAAGTTATAGTCATTGGACTTAAAAAAGGGAAAAGATATCAGATAGATTATTGATGAAATGGGAGAGATCTCCCCCTATAGAGTAAGAAAAGTGGATAACACCAACCTTCACTTGGTAATATTTTAGGAAGTGTGACAATGGACTTTCCCCAGCAGATGGGTATTCTTTTGGGCCTGGAAGAAAGTGAATTGCTCTAGATCTTCCAGGATCCTGTTCATATAATCACTCTACCTCTTGGTTTTCATATACTCGTGTGGAAAAGAAGGGCCATTCTTTCTTCCTTGATATTCTACTTTCATTATTCATAGTCAGGTATAGTATTTATATAACATGAAGTGGTCAACATGTGATTTGTGATAACTACAGCAGATGTTCATTTTGCCCATTAATTTTACATCATACAGTTGTACTCAAGCAGCCTTGTTGTTGGTCTGAACCATTGATTGGTTTCATCAAACTCTATGCTTCCTCTAATATCCTTTGGCGACATTTGTTGACCAGAAAGTGGAGTGAGGGAGTTTCCTATGACAAATGCAGAAAACATCTCTTTTATTTCATTCCCAGCCTGGTGATACCTGTATAATCAGCCTATGACTGAGAAATGTTGCCAGATATTTTTAAATTAGGGAGTGAAGGAGGCTAAATATTTTCATGAAAACCTAATGCTTGCAACCATTCCTCTGTTAAGAAACAGTCTTACCCTCAGCCAAATGGAAGTAAAAGATCTTGCTTACTTTATTGTTTTTCTCCAATCTAGTAGGAAATGAATAAGAAGATTGTTCAAGAAAAAGGTAGGCGTTGAGGGAGCTGACCCAGTGGCACAGCAGTTAAGTTTGCATGTTTTACTTCAGCAGCCCAGGGTTTGCTGGTTCAGATCCCAGGTGTGGACCTATGCACTGCTTGTCAAGCCATGCTGTGGCAGGCGTCCCACATATAAAGTAGAGGAAGATGGGCACGGATGTTAGCTCAGGACCAGTCTTCCTCAGCAAAAAGAAGAGGATTGGTGGCAGATCTTAGCTCAGGGCTAATCTTCCTTAAAAAATAATAAATAAATAAATAATAAATTAAAAAACAAAGAAAAAAGAAGAAAAAGTCGGCATTGAGCTCTCTTAGAATGCTTCAAAAGAGTTGGAGAGGGGCTGGCCCAGTGGCATACTGGTTAAGTTCCCGCTTTCTACTTCCTTGGCCAAGTTCATGAGCCTGAACCTACATACTGCTCATCAAGCCATGTTGTGGCAGCATCCCACATACAAAATAGAGGAAGATTGGCACAGGTGCTACCTTAGGAACAATGTTCGTCAAGCAAAAAGAATATTGTCAATGCATGTTAACTCAGGGTCAATCTTCCTCACACACATGAAAAAAGAGTGGGAGAAGAGTTCAGAGCTGAAGGATATTTACTATGCTGGATATCTTCTTTTTCCCCCTCCAGATATACTTTCTACCTTTCCCTGTCCTACTTTGTACCCTGGGAAAGCTAACCAATAAGGACTA